GCTGATTACAGCTATGAAAGCATTGAAAGGCACTAGCGACGGGCTGTCAAAAGTCCCCAGACCATACACCATATATTAAGTTGGAGCATACGACAGCCTTCAGAATGCCTACGCTAAGACAGGTGCTATATCTTCACTCCTTAACAAGCTAGCGACAGTTGGTATACCATGAAGTGTAGCACTATTGTTCGCGAAGAATCTTGGAAAAGATGCACGTGAGGAGAAGAACATTAGCACAACTGCAGTCAGTAGTGAATTAATCTTCTTCAGATGTATGGAGCTTCATATAGCGACCAAGCATTTCACTTCCACAAACGAAAATTTGAGCACTTGCAAACTGTTTCCTTTCGATGATCTTAGAGGGACGACTGACTGTGTAATCTCTGCTTTATCTAGATATTTAGACTTCCAGAATGGCTAGATAATCTAAATATCGGAAGATTAAAGCTGTTATCTTATTCTTGAACCGGGATGATAACGCCTCATATAATATTGCAGCGGCTGCTCTATTGTCCTAGAAAACTGGATGACACCCCTTTCCCTGTTTAGTCTTGCCAGCGACTGCTGCTATCCTTAAAGCTCAACTCCATTGCTGAGCTACTCAGTGGCGTAAAGGGGGTGTATGATGCGCCGGTCGCAGAGGGGCGCCAAATGGTCTCCAAACAAGATTTTCATCATATCACTGTGTTTTTTTCGGGAAGGGGGGCGCCAAAAAGGTATTTTGCCCCGGGCGCCAGTTATGCTCGCCACTCCACTGGAGCTACTCAGATCTTTTGTTTGCAACACTACAGAAGACACTGCCTCCGACGAGAAGGCATGAAAGTCCGCAAAGCGATCAAAACACCATCAGATTGTTTCGTAGTGATATCAGTGTTATAGCTAGAGACGGGCGAGGGTGGACAACTGTCCCTGGGCGTGGGCGTAGTGTCACGGAAATGCCAAACTGACGAAGTTTTAGAATGAAACAGTTTCCATACTTAGAAAACAGAAGGGTGTACGAAATCTGCAGTTGTCTTTAGGCGCTGAAAACTATAGCCAAGTCTTTAGCCATATTGGATGTCCAGTAATAGATTGCATGCATCTTAGGATGTCACCCACTGTCACCACCACCAGATGATGGGAGTCATTAGCATAGATATCGCATCATCTAAAGACGGCTCTCCAGTGGCCGAGCGGTAAAGCCGATAAACTCGGGCCGGGGCTCGAATCCCGGCGAGCAGATTGGCTGCTAACTAAGCGTTTTCATGGTTTCCATATGTGTAACCTATATACAGTCCAATTTCCCTTAGAAAGTCTTTCACGAAGCCATCCCTTCCCTTAGACAGGTAGCCCTCGAATGTTTCGCCATAACTAAATAAACTGAACCCAACTCATCATCTGTAAGAGAAGATATCAGTTCTTCATATCCTGGCGTGGTTGTTTGTGGAAAACCACTACCAGAGTTGGATTAGCCATTAAGGAAAGTAAGCACGTGCTTAGGGCATCAGGTAAAGGCGGCGTTACAAAAAGGTGCTTAAAGATTCAAAGAAAGAGTGCAAAGGGTCCACAAAAATAAAATTCTCACTGCAGATTTTAGAAAGGAATACCTAGTGCAGTTAATCCAAGCCCGAGAAAGAGGGAATGATGAGAAAGAGGCGTTATACTATAGATGTATGTGGAGGCAGCAAAATCTTTGAAGTGCTACGGGCATATAAAAGTCTAATTTGGCAATGAGCATTACTAAACCTTCAGATAGCTGCTCCCTTTGTTCGAAATGTGATCCAAACTACTGACATGATGTGTATAGTCGCACTTTGGCCTTCTTTCAAACTTCCAGATATTGTCTATAGAACTGTCACGCTGAGACTACAAATCGATGTTGTTAAAACCGAGTGTACCGTACAGTAGCTTCCGTTCATGTTTTGAGCATACACCATGCTTTATACCCTCTCCTACACCCCATAGATGTCATGCTACGTATATGTGCATGCTGTACAATACCGGACCCTAAGTGATCTCCTAATTGATACTTTTGTTGCATCTTCTTGTTTGTACTAACGTTACATTAATTTCTCCATTTCATTCTTAATTTTTATTATTTATATAATTGCAGAACTGATCAGCTATCGTGGATGACTTCTTAAATCGCAATATTTTACAGGAGCGGAAGCACGCTGTCCACTAGGAAGGTTGGGATTTATGCTACTGACCGGGAAATTCGCTTAGCTACATATAGGAACTGTGTGCAGCCAAAATAAAATAAGATACTAAGTCACTAATTTTCTCTTTCCTTACCGCTTGGCTTCGTGTTCTAATTAGAAGCACGTTCGGCTGGCAATAGGGAAGTCCAGAATGCAAATCCTGGGGCGGTCATTCGCTGATATTTTCTATTTCAAATAAATACCTAAAGGCTCAACCAACTAACCAAGTGGTTCCCAAACTAAAATGTGGTAGACGATAATTCTTCACCACCAGCAGGTGGCGATTAGGTTACCACCTCCCCAACTGCCTTTTAAATGGGGAAGAATGTACGGAATTTTCTTTTTTCTCAACGCATGCTTTCATGATGTAATTAGAAGCACTTCTGGATGGCAGTCTTTAAGCCCAGATTTCGAATCCAGGATAGGTCATTTCTATTTTTTTTTTTTTTTTTGGCTCCTAAATAAACCTAATATTATACATCACCGTTCTATGGTGCTCTACACTCATCTACAATAGCACAATCGCAAATAGAGCTACCAGTGCTTTAATATCGAGATTAGTGTACATAGTGACTCTGAAATTGCAGTTTCGATGGTAATGGTTCAGAGGCACATGTTCTACTGTAGTGTGGATTAGGTTAACATGTCTTTCTGGAGCTGTTTCCAAAGCAGAAGGGTGCTGATCATTCTACAGATTTAAGGCGAATGATAAGGCCTTTACCGAAGCTTATAAGTTGGGTAAATCAATGTCTACATGATATTTTTTCTGATTACATACTTTTTGTTTTGTGTCATATGGGGACAAACTGTATACTAGTTTTTATGCCTGCTTTGAATCAGACACTAATTTTTGTTTGCAGCACCACTATAGGGTTTGCAGTCATACCCTGCTACACGACACTTGAACCATTAGCATCTATGTTCACATATTGCTCAATTGATTTATTAGTTATAGTTTATGTGCATACATTTCTTTGTCATATGTGTATGTATTTTAATATGAATCTTTTGTAAAAAATAAATTAGACTTGCATATATGCATAGGCAAGCTAGTTTGCTATACGAAAAGAAAATAAAATTAAAAACCCTGTTCCTTAGACCATATCAACTGGCTGTTTACCCAAGTCACATATATTGCTATAGCACCAGATGTTGAAATTTAAATCGACCACTTCATTTGAAAGTTATAAAATGGACATTTGTATACTATGTTATCTTTTAGTACATGCTCAGCTGTTGAATTTTTATGGCAAAGGTCCTGAGGGCTATCTGCTTAAAAGAAGAGATGCCCTTCTTTGAGCACTTTTTGAATGAAACTGACTTGTATTCGTATTAAACATAGGGAAAACTGTAAAAACAGAGATGTAGCTAACCCATTTGATAGAATTCAAACCTAAATTGTATCACCAGTATTCTGTGGTCTTATCTATTCGAGAACCGAAACACCGGTGGGAATTCTTCTAAAGCAAGATTTTGGTTTATGTTTGCATATAGATATTACTTATGCAGTAGATCATTATCAGACATATAAAAAAATAGTGATATCAGTGAATGAAATTTAAAAAAAATAATAATTCCATTTTGCTACAAACTTCATACACAGAAAACAAGAGAAATAATGCTTTGAATTTTGCTCATCAGAAGAAGCATTAAATAATACAGCACTTTTGATGAGCACAGTTAATTGGTGTGTATATGTATTTTAATCAGTGAGCTGTTCTAAAAGATTTTTCATGGAATGGTCAGACTTTCTTAATTTCTCAACCAGACTAGCAGCATTGTTCATCTGACATGAGACAAACTTAAATTAAGATATACATAATTTTTTTAAAACAGGGCACATAAATTTCTATATAATGGCTAACATAAATTATATTTTATGTTAGCCATTATATAGAAAACTGGCTAAATAAACAGAAAATCTAAAAAATACAGCCTCCTATTCCACAAACAAAAAAAGGACAAATAATCTTAAAATGAACTCAATGATTGCAGACTATAGTAATAACAATTTATTCAAAATGAATGTAGATGCAATATTTTACTTTTAAATATGTCAAGAAACTTGTAGTGATCATCCAGCTAATTCAGTTTGCTTTTAAAAAAGTGTGCATTGAAATTAAAAAAAAAAAAAAAAAAAAAAAAAAAACAAGAATTTAAAGAAAAAAGAACAAGAGCTTTTCATTATTAAAAACTGTTATGACCTAGAAGAAATCTAATCATATCCTTTCACATTACCATCCATGCACACCAATCACATAATCATCCAGCTAGTTGGGAGAGAAAAATGGTTTTAGGTAATGAATGTATTTTGCTTTTTTAATTCCCCTGATATGAAACTCAGCCAGATCAGATTCATGAATTTAATTGTAAAATACGGGTATTGAGAAGCAACTGTCATTGGCGAAGGGCTTGGGCATATTGTAGATGACAGTAGGAATCTGCCCCATAGTTATCCCTATGGGACGGACGGATAGAGGACTAATGTCAATTTCAAAAATATGTCTCTGCAATAATATTTTATTAAATTAATTATGTGAGGTTTGTTTGGTGCATTATGAAAAATGAGCACTATTTATGAACAACTTAAGATACTTAACAGTAAATTATCATCACATACATCACAAAAAAGAAATGTATCTCTTTGAGTGTGCATATAGTGAGCTTGGATATATATATATATATAAAAGTATATTTTATTTAGTATTATAATATATTATTCTTTTTCATATTTTTATGTTAAATGATAATTCTTAAATAGATAAGAATGAATGAATTTATAAAAACAATCATCTCAACCTTTATAATAAATGACACCTAAAGGTTTTCTCAAAATTTAATACAGTTATTCCCATACATGTTGATTTGGCATCCATAGTTGTTATGGCCAAACTATTATAATGCAAATAACAGAAGAAAAAAAAAAATACAAAATGCATTTTAAATGAGAACAGGCCACATCATGCCAAAATAATTTGTACTAAAATTCCAATCATAAGCAAAAATATACAAGTATAAAATAAAAAAATAAAAAAAATATTGTTCTGACATCAAATACAATACTGCTTACTTTGCTTATAGTACTTAACATTTTATTCAGGGTTAAATTAAAACATCAAAATTCTCAACATTAGAGATACAGAAAATATATTAAAAAAATGTATATGATATAGTATACAATCTCAGCATGCACAATTTATCAATTAAATTTGACTTCCTTTATACGTATTTTTCAAATCATGAGAAACAGTTTTTGACTGATTTTTGTGATGAAACACTAGAAGATATTTTCCAAGAAGGGATGCTTTAAGGCAAACTGGCTTGCATTCATATTACACGTGGAAAAATCATGACGAAGCTTATGCAGGCAGTCTATTCACCAGGATTCAAGCTATTAGTATTCAGCTTCTCACCAGCTTGTCCACTGGCACACACAACCTCTTGTAATACATTATCTGCAGACATGAAATCCTTCTGTATTTATATGAAAAGAAAAAGTTATACATTCAATATTAATTACAAAACCCATTTTCATACATGCCTACTGACAAATTATAAGTAATCCTCAACTCATGATGAGTATTGTTCCAATAGTTCCATCATAAGTTCATACTGATGTAACTCAGGGTCTTAATAAAATTATACCTTGGTATGTTTGATTATATTGTTATGAATAAGGCTTCTGTTTCACATGAAAATGGTTTTAAGGAGGTATAAACTTATGTGACATTTATAAACAATTTATTTGCATACATTCACATGAATTTTATAAAATTAATACATATACATCCCTTTCATTAGTTGATAAGAACAAAAATATATACAAAATTCTTTTAATTAAAATAATGGATAAGTAACTGTTACTTATTTGAAAGAATTATTGTAAAATACAACTTAGTGAAAAATTATTATTCAGGTATGATCAGAATCCTATAAAAACAATGCATGTATGCATAAGCTGTTTATATTTTTCTGTAAAATAAACATTTGATCTGGACAACTGCATACTTTTATTTCAAGATGCTTTTTTAGTTAGGACTACCTAATATACACTAATGTTTGTGAAAATCACAACCATGAAGGAATTATGCACTTTGAACCAAACTTACATGAAATGTAAAGTGAGTTAAGACATACAAATGATTAGAATTACAAAGGGATTATGCATGCATGAAATGAGAACTGGCAGTTGTAAAGGACTGTAAAGTTGTGCTGAAATCTGTTTATCATCCTCCGTCTGCAGTGAACATTTAATTTGTGCTCAGTATGCCTCGTCAACAGCGGAGGATGCCATACCAACAAGTTTGAACGAGGCCACATCGTCTGTATGCAAGAGGGTGGACTTTCATATCAAACAATCACAGCCCGCACGCAGCACAATGCCACAACAGTGATGCATGTTTGGAAGAAATGGACAGCGAGAACCAAACAAGGTGAAATCCTGGCAATGGGGCACACAACAGCACAGGACGACAAACACCTCATCTGCATGGCTGTGATGGATTGTAGAGCATCCTCTCGTATGTTAGTACAATATTGGAGCACGGTTACAAGTGTTCGTCGCTGTCTGCTGCAACATGAACTGCATGCAAGGGTTCCTCTACGCAGGATTGCCCTGTCGCTGAGTAACATATGCCTCCGACTTCAGTGAGCACTGCAACTCAGTGCGTGGCGTGCTCTGTGGCAACAAGTTGCTTTCTCCAACAAATCTTGCTACAATCTGGAGTATAATGATGACAGAGTATGCATTATTTGATGCATTCCAGGCACTATATTTTAGGGGAAAAAAATGCCTGTGCACAAGCCTTCTTTAAGGTACAACAGGTTTTGCATCTTCCCCAGATATGTTGCTCAATCAGCATGCCTAGGATTTCATCGGTCAGCGACTCGCACGTACAGCTAGTGGGGCACACACTGAAACTGAACTTTCACATCAAGTCAAAGCCATTCCCCAGGATTACATTCAGAACCTATACGATTCAATGCCACGATGTGTACAGGCTCTCGCTCAGCATGACAGAAACCCAAAGTACTGATTTTCCAACTTTCGTTTTTTTTTTGTTTGTAAATGTGATCGTTTACTTGTATCACTATCGGTAATATGCGGAATAAATTTCATTCATTTCCGACAATTCCTTCATGGTGTTGCATTTTTCACAAACATTAGTGTGTCTACAGCTTCCAGTGCCTGTTCAGCATCCTCTCGTATGTTACTGAAGATAAATGACTAACTGAAGACAATTTTTAATCTCTATTGAAATGCCCGTAATGATTCATTGCTAAGCACAGAATCTTAAATAACACTTGTCACTCCTAGCAATGCCTCATTCTGCCTCTAGTCCATCATCAGAAAACTCCATCAACCTGCTGTGGAGGAAGCTCCACGTTTATAAAATCATTGCCATCATCTTCAAAGGCAGAATTACAGAGGTTCTGGGAATCCCATATTATCTTTAAATTCTTTCAAAGCTTTTCTCAAGCCTTTTCTTGTACAATGCAATCATAAAATGCTTGTTGAAATTCTACTCAGTATCAACTGTAATCTCCAAATGCGGCTTTATGAATTTGTGTCCATCATCTATACAAATTACACTGACCAAAAAAAAAAAAAAAAAAAAAAAAAAAAAAAGCATTATCTAATTTTTAAAATACATTATCTTTCGGCTATGCCGAACTGGATGACGAAAGGGGCAAGGCAATTCTCAGAACCCGCACATTTCCAGGAAAACCAATAATCGATTATCGCTCAGATTGGGACCACGTGATCCTTCAGAAGCAGAACTTTCATCTGATTGGTTCATTTCTACCCCGGACAGAGTTTCAGCTGAGACATTTTTGGCGAGGTTTGAAGAAATATCACATAGCCGCTACATTGTTTCTGTAGCTAGGTGGGATTCTTTTTTTTCTAAGAATCCTCCCATTTAAAACCAGTGCTACCAAAAAAACTTGTTTCTCAGGAAAGTCCCGTCTAGCAGGGACTGTTGCTAGAAGTAATAACCGCTTTAATCAACACTCACCAATAATATAGTAAAATCACAATGACCAAAATTAGCCTCGATCGACTACGTCTAATCCGTTTTCAAAACACATGTTTCGCTTTTATGATAAGAGGAGAGTAGAATATGAAAATTAACATGAGCTCAGCATAAGAGCGTATAGGTAGTGATCACTTTAGGTTTTCTACAAACCACATTCAGTGGCTGAGTTGAATGTTCTTTTTTTTTCCCTCCGAGATAGCTAGATGGTGTTACTAGGTGGCTTAAAGTACAGTCAAAAGTCTTTAATCCTGGAATGATCTATAATCCGGACCTCAAAGCTACAAACTTTCTGCACATGCTTAAACGCATGCGCATATGCGTTTAATGTATAATGGACGGTATAAGCTAAGCTAAAATTATCTATTTCAGTTAATGTTGCAGATCGCGTTGTTCCTTAATTCTTCTAATTGGATCCGGCTTATTATTTTTTTGCAGACTGTTAGAGCAATTTTATAAAAAGTAAGCTTGAACTTTCGATTATGTCAAAAAGAGTTTCCGATTCTGGAGATATCAAAGGATTTACAAGCGAAAGCATGTTTTGATGTCCATCAAACAAAAAGTGGAATTGCTGCAAAAAATGGTTAAAGGCATGAAGAAAGTGACAGAGAGGTGATTTGTTTCTCTAACCATTCCGAAATCTGTTTATCAATTTCGCGCTGCTCTGCGGGAGAGGGGGGGGGAGGGGGGGGGGTACGTTGCAGCGCACAATGAACTGGAAGTTGATCTGTCAGCACTATCCTCATCTTCAGGGCAGATGTTTTTATTTTATTCGGCTTATAATTCCTCACTAAATGTAGTATTTCATCTCGATGTACTCCGTCTTTGATATGATTTAAATCAAATTCATCATTATAAATATCACGAATACACATGAAATAGTTTTCTGGTTGCAATTTTCTAATTTCGACTATGCGTAATGTATGCTTTACACATGCGCACGTTGAAAGAAAGAAAGTTTAATAAAGTAAACAAATAAATATTAAACTTTTTTTTGTAAATTTTGATACCCTTTAGATCATAATTGCTCTTTATTTCATATTTTTAATTTTATAATTTCTGCATGCCACCTTAAAAGATTTAAACTGATGAGCTATAATACAAAAAAAAAAAAAAAAAAAAAAACGATAATCCGAAATCGCCGAAGAGTCCAAATTAAAGACTTTTGACTGTTTATGATAACCAAATGAGCACCACAGCATTTAATGGGTTAATATACGACATAATTACACAGATTGGAATTTGCTAGCAAGTTTGCCCTTGAAACAGAAAAGAAAATTAAAAATCCTGCTCCAGAGGACATTCCAGCTGGCAACTTTATGAAATTTATATACTACTGTTACGAAATAATTTGATCCAGTTTTGTGAAATTAACAAAATATATGGCATTAATGAACTATATACAATCATCTGATGCATATTTTAACTTTGAATGTCAAAACAGAATAGGGATTTTTTTTTTTTTTTTTTGCACTGTGGCTGATTCTTACCTTTAGTCATAAAGATGATTATTATGATGCATGTTGCTTTATCGAAGACCTGCCAATGATGGATTACTATATTCCCCCCCACTTTACAGTGCTGAAATTTATAAAAATATTTCCCTCATTTTCCACTTTTTCAATACATTATTAGAACGAGCTTTCCTATAGTTTAAAATGTATTTGTTGATGTGGTAATCATTGTCTTACTTACAAAGACAAAATCCCATAAATACATACAAAGGTTACATTGAACCTTTCTTCTTGTAATTTTTTACCTTAATGCCAACTTAAACACAAGAACTGTTGAAACACAGTGAAGCAAACACAAACTGACATTCATTCTATGATTTCAGCTGCATACTCAACTTCTCGCCTACGACTCTGCAGTTGTGCAATTCTAAGATGTTTCTTCAAGTAAAAAATTGGTCGATGTGTACATGGATACCGAGGATGTGTAATTCTTAAAAATGCGCCAAGCAGTGGGTGATTCTTCATTGTTTTTCTTGAAGTCCTGTTTTAGATATTTTTGCATGTTTACAGAATTAATTCAAATTTGTAACCGGCGATATGATGAGTTAGCGATTTTCTAAAACACACGAAAACAATCGATTTGGCGACTTGGCAATTTTTTTAAAACTCACCAATCTGGACCGTAATATCTAGTTTTACCATATTGCTGTTGTGAAAAGACATGTTTGAAGATGAGTACAAGTTTAACAATTTAAAAATACTGTAATCCTAAAAACAAATCATATGGACCATGGCAGACAAAAAAATAAGAAAGGCACTGCAAAAGCATATGGTTAGACATGGCCAGAATCTCATAAAAAATAGCACACATTAGCTTCTTGGCAAAACATACTTTGGCTCAACTTCGATGTTAATGTTTCTGGTTAAGTAGAAGCAACATTAAAACTGGTTTGCAGTAAATGCTGCCAAATGAACACATAACTGAAATATTTGCTGATATTAAGAAAAATATTAATTTGTTCAGCTAGACATTTAGCACCAATGCTCATCCAATAACAACAACAAAATTATAAATTTGTTCACAGAATGTAATAAGAAATTTGTGTAAATAAGTACATAAGCAGCAGCAACAACAACAACAAAAAAAAAAAAAAAAAAGGCACATCAATATCACTGCCACACCATACAATTACGTTTGAATAAGAAAATAGAGTTATGCGCACAGCATTGAAAGAATACCTTTGAAGTACACCATATTCATTTCTTACCCTGAATCGAGCAGAACCATGTAATTATTTAATCTGCAACTACATTCTGAAATTTAATAATACACACAAATTATATACATTTAATACACATTTTGTACTGAAATTAAATAATTACAAATATAGTTTTTACTAACCTATACATGCAGAAATTCAGGGAAAAAAGATCGCAATCACCAGTTTGCTTTAAAAAAAATGAATTAACATAAATAATTACAATTGAAAGCTATTCATTTAAGCAAATAATGAATTATAAATTTTACCTTACAATCAAGAATGAGAATAGCCATATCATACCCACACCACGCTGCATACAGGCAAGAGAACATTAACTGGGCTTAATAACAAAACAACCATCACGGCAAAAGCTACTGCTTCTTGCTGCAATTTTTAATTTCGCTACAAATAACAGAATAATACTAGAATTGCTTACAATAAGTGTACATAGAATGTTAGGCTTTTGGTATTAATATTACACGCTCTAGCTCGGCTGAAGTTAATATGTTAATGTTTCTGGCTAAGCATGTTCAACTAGATGCATTATTAAAGCTGATTTCCAATAACGTCTGGAAAGTTGAGCGCAGATAACCAAAATATTTGCTCAGCCAGATATTTAACATTACTATTAATACGATATCAAAGAGAACATGAAAAAATGAGTATATTTGTTCAAAAGAACACAGAAATACAAGAATATATTACATTTCGCAGTATTTAATAAGAAAATGGGTGAATAAGTACATAAACGACACGAATTTTTTTTCTTCCTTTTAACTGCACACACAAACCAATAAACTATATACAATTCATAAATAATTTTGTATTCAAAGTTAATTAAATATTTACAAAATCAAAAATAATTCTTACCTATACATTCAGCAGAAAACGAATTATGCCTATAATTGCGGTCTGTGCAAGAAAAAAAAAAAAAAAATAATGATTAAAATTAATCAAAAAGACAATTAAATTAAAAAAAGACTATTCATTTAAGTGGAAAAAGCATTAGAATTTTAATTTATTTGAATTTCAACTTAAAATT